GGGGAAGAATCAGTTTTGCTTGTGATAAGATGGTCTCTTTGGTACGCCCCTCCTCCATTGCCAGCCCTCTTCCTTGTTGACAGTCTTGTCAAACTGGTTGAAAACAACAAAGTCCATGCTCAATAATCCAGGTATACAATCCAACATTTTTCCAGGAAACCTACAACAACAAACCAGTTCTGCTTGTGATGTTTACTTTGTGAAAGAGACAAAAATTAAGAACTTTGTTTAGCCTATACTTGTTCAAAGGTTCATGCAGCTAAATTAAACAGAATTAACTTTCAAGGTTCAATGTGACTTTGTCATTCGAATTACGTGGTACATGAGGTGGAACAAAATTGTGTACTCAAGGTCCCAGTTACACCCAAAATTAACAAAAGTATGAAGTATAAAAAGAAACCGTATATAAAGATCTAAGATATAGGCTAAAAAAATAATATTGTAATATAATAGGGTGTATTAAACAGCAGTCTGAACATGAGTCTGTTGTGAGCAGATGGGTATGAGCTTAAAGGCAAGAAATCAGCAGCATGAATATTCAGTAGCACAGATAAAGTGTCAAATCTCCAGTTAAAGTGGCATTACAGTGATTTGTCTAGTTAGAGATTCATGAGTCTAACAGCCTCAGGGTAGAAGCTGTTCCTCAGTCTATTGGTTCTAGACTTAATGCTCCTCAACCTCCTTCCTGAGGGGAGCGGGGCAAAAAGTGTGTGCTGGGTGAGTGGGGTCCTTCATGATGCAGGTGGCCCTCTTCCTGCATCTGGAGGTGTAGACGTCTGTGATGATGGGGAGACTGACTCCAACAGATTCTGTGCAGCCTTCACTACTCTCTGCAAAGCTTTTCTTTCTGCAGCTGTGCAGCCTCCATGCCACATGTTGATGCTCTCCACTGCACACCTGTAGGAGGAGGTGTAGTGTGTCAAGGTCAGCTTAGCTGTACCCTTACTACAATTATATTTAAATAACGGGTTCTCTCTTTTTCGAGCTAATTACAGCCATGTGACAGAAGTAACTGTGCATAGATGGTTTAATCAGTGACATGAGACGTTAATTTTCTTTGACCCATCATAATAAATTTGGTCATTTATTGAACAGAATCAAAATTTAACATCCAAACATTTTACACTTGATTAGACTGATCTGGTTCTGATTAATAAAACTTGGCACGTTTTACTTAATAAAAACAACAGACATTTCTGAAGACATCTAGGTTAATTACTGGAGAAGTAGAAGAGTTTTAAAGATGGGAAAAATGGAGGAGTTTAAAGGAAGATGTATAAAGGGAGTGTCTGTTCGGACCCGGATGGCACGCTCCTTTCAATACCAGCTCACCTCCGGTACACTTCGCGTCACGACTCGTTACCTTTGCCGGGATATCTCTGCTCAGGAACAGGAGTCCATTTCAACGCGACCTTTCAGCGTCTCTGGTAAGGATGGTTGAGAATCGGCAGAAGTCGTGTCACTTATCCGTTTAACAAACAGGCTCAGCTCCCTTCGAAGTTGTAGGGCATTTATGCCCAGGTGAAGTCGCAGCGAGGCGCCGTGACTCCTGCAGAGATGGATGGCTCAGACTGGAAAACTGAGTCCGAAGTTCCACTCAGCAGTGGAAAAACTCCACCAGATTCCAGGAAGACTTCAGATGACTCCAGAACTCTACAGAACTGCTGGAGCACGAGAACTAGGAATAGTTCCAGCAAGTGTCGACTTTTAAAGAGTTCTGCTTCCGGTCACTTTAGTATGTCCTGATTGGTTGAAGCAACCAACAGGGGTGGTTCTAGTGATGTCAAGAAAACAGCAGGAATGTTTTAGGAACAGACAGAGAAATGTTTTGGAGAAATGACAGACTTACAGGTGCCAGTTTTCTTATTTACTGTCTGAGAGTTTTAAAAACACGACACTTCGTTCCAATAACTTCCCTCTGACTTTTGACCGACATCACTCCTTCTCATTTCAGACAGAAGATCAAAAATGCATAATTACTTTGTAAAATAGACATTTAACTTGATTTCTAATTTAAATGAGGATTAAAAAAATAATTAATACTGTTTCACAGTTGATTTAAAATGAGTGGTTCACTTCAACATTTAGAAATGGTATGAACTTAACACACTTTTGATTTATCAAGATATTGTAAAATAGTAATGATAATATAAAAGAAGAGTGTTCTTTCAATTGATTACTTCAGGATACAATTAGAAA